ATTACGAGAAAGCGTTTGATGCGCTCAAAAGAGACTACGTATGGTTGGCGCTTCGCGCAAGGAGTATACTGTCAAAAATTGTCAGAATCCTAAAAAATAACAGAAGAAAAAGATGCAGAGTTTTACATGGTAAACTCAGCGATAGTTTTCAGTCAACAAGCGCAACCCTGACGGCATATTATCACTTATGTTGTTTATCATCATTCTCAACACAATTTTGAGGCACTGAATAAAAAAGTACGTGATATTAATTACAGTTTAAACATTAGAAATCTAAATAATGAATCGAGTAAAGTCGGCCTGAACATTAACGTAATGAAGACCAAAACAATGCACATAAATACCATCAATCACGATTGCCTATTTGTCAACAATAATATCTTAGAGGAAATACACAGGCCCATTCTGAATACTCCCAGGGAACAAAACTCCCTATTCCCACGCTGTTTCCAAACACACAACTCCCTTATTCTGAATTGCTTGGGAGACAGCAGTTTTAGGAACAACAACAGTTTCAAATTTGTTTTGTTAAATTTTGGCAACCATGCCACTTTTTAATGACGAAAAGTGCAAAAATGAGCAAAACAAAGAAAAGAATTGCGTATCATATGTTGATTTAAATGTAAAAATCGCATTATTTGTTTGTTGCACAAATTATCGGAAATAAATATAAGTTATTTTATGAGTAAATAATAAATAATAAAATAATAAATAATAAAAAACTTTTATTTTAATGAGTAAAATAAATATATAAAAAGAACTGTGCATGAGCAAAATAAACAAGAATTGTGCAGTTGTTAATGATTATTTAAATAAAAAATTTTAAAAAAGTTTTCAAAAATGCATTCAATTGCATTTCGAGTTTCAGCGGAGGATTTGGCTCAAGAACAGGAGCAAGAAATTTTGCAACAGAGCATCAATCGCAGAAACTTACATGTTAAATTTAACTCTTTTCTAAATTTTTAACTCTTTATTAACTAATTAAAAAACAACCTTACGTTATGATATCAATTCTTCAATGTCTTTATTTTCAAACATTCACTGCTTTTATACAAAATTTGCGTAAATTATAATTTAATTTTTTTTATATAATTAGGATAGAAATGTCCTTCATGCTTCAATTAATGAACTAATAATAGTTTATGATTGTGCAGATGTTACAATAAAAAAGAAAAAGTTTATTTTAACTTATTCTAGGAATCCCATTCATTTCAGAATTTGGTTTTCTTTCATTTTTCTATTGTTTTAAAAACAATAGTTAACACTTTAATTAGTGGAAAAAGCCCGTGTAAATAAAATAAATAAATAAAAATTTAAATATTTCAAATTTGTTATATTTTTATTAAAACAATAATTTTAATAAAATATATTAAATGAAAATTTAGTTATATTAAATTTATTAAAATAAATTTATTAAAATATATTCGGAAAACCAATCAACTCTTGTGGATAAAATAAAAAAATAAAACTTTGAAAATATTAAATTTATTGTAATAATTTTATTATAATAATAATTTTATTAAAATATATTCATAAATCTGATCATTTTCCGTTACTTTTATATTAAATTAAACCATTTTTAATACTTTTTTAACTCGTCTCCCCAACAATTTGCTTGGGAAAGAATTTGTGCAAAATTGGGAAAAAACTCCCATTCCCATGCGATTCAGAATAGGAGAATTGGGAACAGGGAACAAAACTCCCATTCCCAATTTATTCAAAATAGGAGAATTGGGAACAGGGAACAAACTCCCATTCCCATGCTATTCAGGCCTGGTTATAATAATGATAATATAAATTTTTTATACAATGAAATGTTGTTCTTAGTAATCTAAACAGAACAAACTTGCATGCAATCGTATTTTAGCATCAATCCATGCAAGGCAAATTTTCATGGAGATACTATTTTTATCAATTTTTAAAACATTGTATAAGTCTCTTCAATAGTTATATCCTTCAAATATTAAACTAGACACAGAGCTACTAAAGCCGGCCACTGAAACAATAAACCCGATATTTAAAAACGGAGTACATTAATCAGCGGAACGTATTTGTTTCATTGTTTATATAACGCGTAATGATTATAAGATCAATAATTTTCCAAATCGATGGTGATATTCGTGAAATCCTCGCTATCGTGAAAACATTTTCCATAGCTGTCTAGAACTTGAGATTGAATGACACGATTACCACAATTTCTGTAAATTCTAATACTGAAGATGCAGTTTGAGCTTTATAATTTATTTTCTGATTTTTCGGTTTTTTATTCTGATTCACACAGCTTTTCAAAATCCCAAATCATATTGATTTTGTTGTTATTAAGAATCATCCTTCAATTTTCCCGATAATTCAAGAAGAACCCCAATTACAAAGAGTTACAACTCAAAGCACCAACTGTCTGAAATTTAAGAAATATCTAAATACTCACGCTCATTCCAATTACAAAATTAAAAACAAATATCAAATAGATGATGCCGTACAAGTATTCAACATGATTCTCTCCTCAGCTGCCGAAAACTCTATACCACAAAATTCACCATCTCAGCCAGGAAGGCAGCTTTTTTCTAACAGCGAAATCGAAAGACTTTTAGCAGAAAAAAAACTTGTAGAGAATGGCAACAAAATAGATCCCCATTAGCCAAATCTAAATTTAAAAAAATAGTTAATCAACTAAAAAGCGCTCTATTAAGAGACAAAGATAACAAGCAATACGAATATATCAAAAAGCTGTCCCCAAATACGACTAACAAAGGATCACTCTGGAAGGTTGATTAAGCTACAACAATACCTGTTGAAGCCGTATCTCCATTTAGAAATCCCAGCGGCGAATGGGCTCGCAGCGACGATGAAAAAGCTAATGGACAGTCAGAAAGATTGTGCAACTTTTTGCGATGTAGAAATTGCAACATATGTTAATTGATGAAGTTATCAACTGTGTGCGTGTTATGTTATGTATTGTGTGTTTTCTAAACCAGAATAATAAGATTTTGAGTTATTTTTATTGTGTAATTTTTTTATGCGGTCCCTATCCACCGCAAATCCCTCCAATAATTTCAATTTACCAACTTAACTTGTTAACAATAATGTTATCAACCTACAAATTTCAGTAAGCGATATCGAGGTCATTATCAAAGAAAAACCTGTCTTCAAAAAAGCACCCGGACATTTCTATAATTTCAATTATACTAAAAAAACCTGACCGTAGCAATTACACACATTACAAAGATTTTTAACGCAATAATAAAATTTGATTCAAAAGTCCCATCATATAGACCTATAAGTTTGCTGCCTTGCCTATCAAAATTGTATGAGAAAGTGTTTCCAGCAAAATTTGTGCCTTTTTCCAAAAACGAGACCTGATCCCAAGCCATGAATTTTGATTTCGTCAAATACATGGTACTATCGAACAAGTGAACAGAATAACTAACGATATAAGAAGCGCTTTTGCTTTGGTGTCTTTTTAGATGTTGCACTATAAAGCATGACATGAGGGCCTGATCCACAAAAAAACGAAAAATAGTTCCGCAAAAATCACACACAGTACTGGAATCATACTTGAAGACAGATCCTTCAGAGTAACGTTTCAAATTAAGTAAAGACTTCCCTATAACTACAGGTGTTCCTTAAGGCAGCGTTCTTGGTCTATTCGTGAACCTCGTCTTTACTTCGTGTATCCCCACAAATACCAATTTAGTAACATCAACATTTACTGACGATACACCTATTTCGTTCCGACATAAAAATGCCACAATTGCTTTCAGTCAACTTCAAAATCATTAATGCTTCGTAGAAAGATGGTTGTCACTACGGCAAATTAAAGTCAATGACAAAAATATCATCATTTACCATTCTCTCTTAACAGATCCTCCTCACCAACTATCACTTTCAACGGATTTGTACTTCCGCAAAGAGAAATAGTCACGTACCTTGGTACTTACCTTGACAAACCTTTAACTTGGTGAACTCTCTCGAGTTCGAGAGGATAAGGCAGAAACATATTTCAAATTTTGCAAACCATGTAAATGCGCTGGCTAGACCTCTTGCTAATATGACAAACTCCTCTAGACTGAAACGGAATTATAGACCCGCCATCCTGTTTTCCTAATGGTCACTCTGATTAATTTAACTTATACGCCGTGATATCTAGTAAACAAACCCTGGCTACTTATTCAGAGGTCCCTTCAAATAATTTATAAATTATTATATTATCATTATGTTAAATGAAAACAAAATATGTATTTTTTGACAATATTTACATTTTCAAAGATAATATAATTTAACTATTAAGGATAGTAAAAGTTGTTGAATTACTCGCTTAAACCACAGCTCATCCCATAAATATGAACGTAAAGGAAAAAAGTAGTATAAACGTTTCCTGTTCGGTCCTGCGCGCTCTAATGACAAATAATGCTCGCAACTGCCACTTCGCATTGGTAATCTGTGAAAATATGGACATCACTAACTTAGAAAACTTTTGTTTAGAAAACACTACAAAGTCCTTTTACCTGAACCCTAGTGGCCTGTTTAAACTGTCCGAGAATATACTAATCACGTTAACATTCGTATAAATACGAATTAACTCTCTACAATCTAAGAGAACCAAGCTTCTATTTAACAAAATTGAGTCCACAGATGTTTCTCTGCGATATGCATGTTAGGATTCAGTTCATTGGTTTTGTTGTAATCCAGTTATCTAGTGTTTTTAGGTCTAATAATAAGTAATAAGACTGTTAGGTGTTACGTGATTGTTTATTCAATTGGTAACACAGATTTGTTTATGTCAAAAAGAAAATTCAAGAATTATTTAAATATAACATGGAAGTAAAACTTAATAACTCTAAAATGAATCGGCACAACAAAAGAAAACACAGCGTGAAATAACTATGCTTACAAAAAAAAATAATCTGGAATAAAAGTATTTTAAAAAGTATTTTAAAAAGTATTTTTTAGTAAACTAAAGAATATATTTACAACTATATTGATTATAATATATATCTTTCTTTGTCATTTAAGGGATGCAAGTCAATAATATGTTCATCAAATGTGCCAAATATTCAGGATATTAAAGAGTACTCAGAAATTGGGTTACGTTGTGATCTACACTTTCGAGTAATGAAATAAAAAATTGTGCAATGCTGCGACAGTGAAGTATCATTTAATTGTTTGAATTATTCAATTAGCGGACTAGTTTAAAGTCAAAAACAAATTTTTGTTACATCTGTCTTATATAGTACGTAGGGAATGGGTCGGATTTAAAACATGTGTATATATGATTTGATTGATGCAATTAAATTTTTTACTTTAATGACGAAATTCACTTTGTGCAATTAAATACTAAAAACTGCCAGTATCCCAATTGCTGAATGGGAAATATCAAAATTAATTAATACTTTACATAACCCATTCTTAATTAGCTCTTTGTTAATGCTTATGGCCCACTTATTAGATGATCTATGCTATTTTCATTATCCGATTATCATCGTCCGATTTCAAAAGGAATTAAAATACAGCTTCAACATCTAATATAAATGTTAACTCATTTGATTAATAAGTTTGATCATTTCCATATTTCCATATTTCCCAAACGGAACTTAATTGCATTGCAATAATCTATAACAATTTAAGATTCAACTTCGTTTTTTATTTGATTATTTGAGGAGCCGTTGCTTGTATTTGATGTATTCAGATTGCAGAAGTCAAAGTGCTTGCGATGTACATCGTTATAAGCATTAATTGAAGCATGTTGTTTTTTTTGAGTGATTACACAAAGCATTTCAAACCAAAGTTCCTCGGTAAATTCCATTGTTCCCGTTTGCATTTTATTTCGAGGTGTCATGTTTACCAATGATCGAAAATTTTCTACAATATCCACCAAAGAGTTATGAAACGTCGAAACCTCCGAACCTAACATAATACAAGACTAAAATTAATTTTATAAATTCTTAGAACATGTATTTACCTTTCAAGTTTGGAAATAAAAAGCTATTTATAATATGATCCGCTTCAGAAGCTCGACTTTTTTTCAGATGTTGTTGATTACTTGTCTGTCCCAAATAAACCCTCATTTTTGATTTTTTGAAAAATAGTTTTAAAGTGTTATCGACACGCTTTTTTTGGTTAATTGCAAAATCAAATCGGTTTGCACGATTTATAAAAAACATTATATTTGGGAAGTAGTCACTTAAAAATGGAGGATTTTCTTGTTTTGGTTTCATTTCCGCTGCAAATTGCAGTAATCTTAGAAAATTTATATTTAAATAATTATCTTGCACCACAATAACAAGGTGACAAACAGAGAGAAAACTTATTATTTGGCACAAATCATCTAGTTCGTTTGAAACCATATCTTTTTTATATGAGTTGCACATAAGAGGTGGACTATCAATTAATATCATTCGGTCAGATGTTATAAACATATGGGTTGACTCAGTACGACATCGTCCAGAATATTTATTAGATTTGACTTTTGTCGGAAAAATATTATCCTCCTCTACAAACATTTTGTTATAATAATCATAATCCGGATTTTCGTTCGCCAAAAAATTCATTACTGTTGACTTTCCAACTCCCTTTGAAAAAAATCATGTAAACATTATGTATTTTTTTAAAAAAAAATATTATTAAATACCTGTGTGCCAATAACACCAATTACTAAAAAATCTGTATTTGTAGACATCAGTATTTTTTTAACATTGGTATTAATTTGACCAGTTGAAGAAATAACAGTAGTAGGTCTAGTCATCTGAGGCAAAGATTCAACAGGTTTACTAAATATAGTTTGAACTCTATCGCTTAATTCTTTAGTAATGTTAGGGCTTGTTCTATTAAACAATGGACTTTGACTAGCCTCGGTGCGCGTTACTATTATCGTCTTTTGTGGTATTTGTGAGGCAACATCCATGTTGGAAGCGACTTCTGCTTCATAGTTTTCTAATTTAGCCTTCAACAAAATTTTTGGCTGTATTTCATTTTCCGAATTTCTAAGACGACTGTCGCCGTTCTATTTTATAATTATAAAAATTTTTATTTTTGTCATTCAATAAATATTTATAAATACCTTATTTTTATTACGATACCGCCTTCGTTTATCAGACATAACCAACCAAGAGAATCTGGAACAGAAATCAAATTAAAAATCTTTAGTTATTTCGAGCTTGTTATAAATTTTGTACAATGTATAACAGAGTTGTATTTTTAACAAACATAGAACTTATGCGGTTTTTGCTAGGTCAATCTTGAGTACATTTTGGACTAATTTACGTGTTATAGTACGTTTCCACTGCTTACTTAGTAAGCTAAACTTACTAAGCGAATTTTATTAATTATATATCCGTGCTTTTTCACTTACGTTAGAATATAGTAAACAAAATTCGACCAAAATTATTCCAAATCCATATCGAAGAAAATTCATTTATATATATTAAAATTATTTTTTCACTTTTCCATCATAGGTTAAAAATGCAGTAAAACTGGCACGATTACAAAGAATAACTTTTGTCTATATAATAATAGATAATGCTGAAAACAAGATAAGATTGGAGAAATCTTTTATATTCTATTATATAAAATTAAATAAAATATTCTCCTACCAGAATTCTATATTGGATGTTAAAACTATGGAAATGCTGCCAAATAGAAGTATCAATAGACGTTTTCGGTGGCTCGCAAGTGTGGCAATAAATGTATGCTGGCCTATATTCGTTAAGCAAGGCATTGACATCACTGTTGCAATCTGTCAAGTGTTATGTTTTGGCAAATAGCAAATCTTTTATACGTGCACATCACATTTTGCATAAAAATAAATAGTTAATATAAAATTGAAAATGAATACAGATTTAAAAAGAATGGTAAGAATGTTAGAAATTTCAAAATAAAACACTAAAAATTTTACTTTTTTTACCCAATTTTCAATTTTATGAAATTTTTGAATTTTGTTTGAATTTTTGTTTACATATGCTTTTTGACATATGATTGCAATATTCGTTGGAATTTACAATAAAAGTTCAGAATAGTTCGCTTATTGCATTGCTAACACTTTTCTCTTTACTGGCCGAAGTGTGTAGCCACTATACAACTACTGGCATATATAGAGAAAATAGTGTTGTTGTTTTGCGTACATTTCAGCCAGCATAGGCCAGCAAGTTGCTGTTTTTTGCCATACTTGCGAGCCAGCAAAAACACGTAATATTAAATTGTAGATGGACGATTGCATTAAAAAATATATATTATATAATATTGTTAAAATAACAAAATAAAATTAATTTATTACTTTTTTGCAATTACTTCTGGTTTTGCGACAGAATAAAAATAAGACTATATTTTTAAAAGGCGTACTCGTGATATTTAAAGACTTACAACAAATCTCATAAACAAATGTTGCGATAATATTAATTTCTATACTTTTAGATATCACAATAAAAGATTCAATAATTTATTTAAAAACATTTAACAAATATAGTTTGCATAGGAAAAAACAAAATTTTTGGACTTCCAGAAACAATATAGTTTCGCTTTGATTTCTTTAAATGAATTATAAAATTGTTTATTTTCCAGTTAGTTATGCAGAAGAAAGAAAATAAAGAAGAAAATATCTGTATTTTTTATATTTTTACAATTAGTGACAAAGTGGGGATAGAAATTTTAAATAAAATTAATAACAGAAATTTCCATATTTTGAAAAACTGACCGTAATAAAAATTTTGGAATATGTTGGACTAATTAAAAAAGAAAATAGAAAATTCAGTGCTATTATTGAAATTGTTGAATACAACGGAAAGCAAACATCCAATCTTATGTGTTATTTGTGCAAATATTTTCATTGCAAACTCTTTTCGTTATATTAAAGAATGTACGCTGCTTAATACGCAGAACCATATGTAAAACTTGAGTTAGGTAAAAAGCAGCAATGAAAACCATTAGCTTCTATTTTAAAAGGCTCTTAGCCTTTGATGAATCAAAGTAATCGAGCAATGTTCTTCTCATTAAATCAAAACATACTCAATAGTATTTAGGTCTGGTGATTGATGAAATCTGGCGTGGTGCATAACATAGCAACCATTCCTTTATATGCTCAGAATCTTTGCTCTGTTCAAAGATCTAAGACATAATCTCTTTACAAACGGTTGTTGTGTGCTTTTATATTGAAGTTATTATAGTACTCTAACAATTAAGGCCAAATATTCAACACCAGCTGCTTCTATTCCTTCTCAAACGCTGCCACCGGCGGCGAAACTAATTCGATTATCAAAAACTTATTTTACTAAACTCTACTTTTCCGCACGTTCTCTCGGTTGCAGCTAACATCTCGATAGAAAAGTGTTTTTAGTTGTCCCCTTCCAGACATATGTTCGTCTATAGCATTTTAATTATATTTTGTAGACATTTTACACACTGAAAAATCGTACATTCAATGGCTTTACTATTTCTCAATAGCTTTACTATTTCCTTGCAATTTGTTATTACTGAAATTTTATATAACTCTTAATGATAATAATAATAACTCACTTAATAATAAATTTAGTGAAACAAAAAATAAAACGGTATTACATTCTTAAGAAATTGAAGAAATTAAAACGTATTTTTCTTATAAAATATGCAGTAATATTTCCGATAAAGTGCATATTATTTGTTTTTGATTTAGTTAAAATATAATAAAACTATTATGTATTTAAATTGTTTATATATTTGTAGAAGGGGAATCTACAATACCAAATATCAGCAATGACTTTTACAACTTATGACTACTAGAAAACATGATCTCTTTTAAACTAACACTTATGTTTACTGTTTACTTATGGAAAAAACCTATTAGACAAGAGCTCTGAAATAAAATGCAAAATACGCAGAAACTTTTCAAAAATTATATGAAATTTTTCGGAAAACGAAAAATTATTGAATTGGAGAGATCATTTGGCGACTCTGCAATAAAAACTCATTTTATATTTCGATTTGCGACATTTGCATTGCTATGACTGGGATTTAATATCCCGCCCCTAAAGCGTAAGCAAAATTACTAACTAAGAAATCGGTGATGTCCGCAAAAAATAACTAATTGAAGTAATCATTGATCGGAAAATTGGGAATTAGTGGAAGAAAACTCTGGGATGTGTACAGAGTGATCATCAAAAAAAATCCGAAACCTTCATCAAGTTGTAGGCTTTAAGGCTGCTTAAAATGGATAACATGAACTGATCAAAAATCGGTGGACTTACTGAACAAACTAAAACATAGCAGCTGGAAAAGATAGCTCAAGCGATCTCGTCAGATGGTGGAAATGACTACTCGTCATTTCCAGAACACACGTTGGTGGTCAACAGGAATATATAATTTTAAACAGATGTTTAGAAAATTATTTGACCTGGCGAAACGCACTTACAATTGGGGGCATACAAACAGTAACTTTGGCAGTTCAAGAACACCGCACGTACTTTAAAACGATCTTCCAGAAAAATTATTTATGTTTAATTATTTGTAATTAATTTTTTGAGACTGGAAGTACCAAAGGTGGAACTCATACCCCACCAAATTGAAACTCAGCGTCAGCGTTCATTAGCCAACTGAACCAAAGCCGTACTTGACTTGTATGTTCGCACTTTGATTTTTTTTGTTCGAAACATCTCAAAACAGCTGTATGGTCAACAATAAATATAATTAATTCAAATAATATAAAAATAGTTTTTGTTGCTGTAGTTCACTACTTTTCGAAACCTCTCTACGAAACCTATTAGTTTCTATTTAGTAAAACAGTCATTTTCGTCTTAATTAACTTTAAATTACAACTTATAGAAAAATTTTCTGTAAACAAAAGAAAATAATTTAAGACTAAGTGTTTATTTAACGAAACGAAGGAGTTTCTGGATGATATCCACATCTAGGGTAACATTGTAAATTAGGAAGATCATACATCAAACAACTGATATTGACCCAAATATCATTAGTTATGAAAAGATTCATTGAACAATAAAGAATTTCGTTCATATCCAGTTTCAAATTCTGAGGATCGGACAGCATCATTATTGCTGAATTATAATAAGCTCATGATGCTAAGCATTTGTTCCCTGACTGAAAATAATTTTCAATGGTCTTGTCTTGTAGATTTCGACATAGACTTGGTAATAGGGACTATAATTAACATGTTACCACGCATATATAGGCTTGCATATCCCATTCTTCGTTTGGAAATGGGAGACTCCCCTGTTACCAGCATAGGAATGAGAGGCACTTCTCAAGGAGAAACTTTCCCTTCAATACCGTGGAAATTAGTTATAAACATTCTTTTTGACATAGTGAAAAATTAAGGGTGTCAAGTAGTTGCTTTGGGTAACAATGTAGTCATTCTCTCAAAGAGAAAACTTTACGAAACATATTTATGTGGTACACGTGCAAAGGTCTGGGAATAAATCCAACCAAAACAAATTTTAATCTTCACCCTTCTTTCTGTTAATGGAGTTGGAAATGTATGGACTTTGGAAATGTATGTAGATAAAGTAGTGTAATAGGGGAGATAAGGCAGTGAAATTTAAGCAAAGATGGAAATGAAGAAGAAAAAATAGATTTTGATAAGTTTACAAAGTTAAAGTAGAAGAAGTAAAAAATAGAAGTTTGAGAAGATTGATAAGTTTGATAAATTTAATAAATTTGATAAGTTTGCAAAGTTAAAGTTAAACATAAATTCATAAAGACTAAATTTAATTTTTTGACTAAAGTTGTTTTTAACTTAATAAAAGTTTGAAGTTTAGTAAAAATATTAAGAATGTTTCTTTTTAGCGTTTTTTTTTTGTTTAAATAACATGTATTGGACGGGAAAATGAGTTTGAAACTCAATGTGAATGCAAGACTTCATAAAACTTTAGTAATTACTATACTTCTGCAAACATACTATTGAGCATAGGAACTTTAGCCCAATGACATGCATTGTACATCTGCGAAGCCATTGTCAGGCCTATTCTAGGCATAGTACCATACATTAAATCCATTAACAAAGTCCGACTGGCTACTGTTCCTGTTACGGGAGCCATCAAATCAACGCCGACAAAAACATTTTACACAATTCTAAGCCTTCCTTCAGTCAACCTTTTTGCTTTTCAGGCTACTTTCATTTCTGTGGTCAGGCTCAACTCCATCAAAACATGGAAGTATTTGAATCAGGTCCACTTAGCAATTACGTCAGCGCTCATCGACATACTAACATATATTGATGAATTACAAAACTCTTAACAAGAGCACAGACAAGACTGAAGCTTTGTACTGTGGAGCAGCTGCGAATCGGTGCATTTTTACTCGGACAGCTCCGAACTTGAAACACATGTGGCGGTGATTTGTTTTCGGCATTCCAAGCTTAGGAATGCCCATGAGATTGATCAAGAGTAATTAACACTTATAATTTTCAGTTTACTTTGACATCTCAGAAA